TCTGATCTGGTTCAGTTCGGTCTGGTTCAGTCTGGTCTGGTTCGGTCCCTGTGCGTTTGGCAGCTCTTTGGGCTGAAGCATCAGCTGTTGGAGCAGTCTTTGTCAACATCAGCTAAAACCAACACGAAGCAGTAAAAAGCTGCGTCCAGAGGCTCTGGTCAGGAAAGAGCTTCAAAATGAATGACTTGATTTAAAAAAAGCAAACGAATAAAAGAGTAATTTATTTCTGTTTGCCTTCTGGAATCAAGACACGATGAAATATTCAAACGGACTGAGAAACAAAAACGAAGTGTTTCTGATTCAGATACATGAAGGATGAGGACACCATGAAGGTGTGAAAATGTTAAAATATAAGAAGATGACAAACAATGACTCATATTTATACATGTTTGTTGTTTTGTTTTCACATTTACCTTTACAGTATTTTTTATTTTCTCTTTGATTGTTTGAGACGATTTAAATTGTTTTTATTACAAAGTGTTGAAAGATGAACTGATCAGTAATAATTCACATCAAACCACTCGAAGCACTTTTATTTACAAACAACAAGCACGTCATGTGGAGAGGTTCTGGTTCTGGTTCTGGTTCTGGTCTGTAAAATCAGAGCTTTTCCTGAAGACCTGAATCTCGTCTCCAGACTCGTCGCTGTGGACTGAAACCTATTTTCAATTTGTTGCTTTTATTTCTTTGTTTTTGTGCAGTTTTTCTTTATTGGTTATTTTATTTTGTTTGTTTTTTTCCTAGTATTTATTTTGTTGTTTTTTGTTTTATAGTGTTTTGTTGTTTTTATTTATTTTTTTGTTTAGTTTTAATTTCTTTTGTTTTTTGTTTTCTGCAGTTTTAGTTTAGTTTTTGTGTTTCTAGTATTTATTTTGTTGCTTTTGTTTTGTAGTGTTGTTTTTGTAGTGTTTGTTTTATTGATTTTGTTTTGTTATTTTCATTTGTTTTTATTTCTTTTTTGTTTAGCTTTGCTTGGTTTTGTTGTTTTCTTTGTTTGCATTTGTTTAGTTGTTTATGCAGCGGTGTCGGCCTCGTCTCGTACGCTGACAGATGTTGGAGCTTCAGCAGCGACTCCAGCTGTGAGGAACCATGACGTCCTCACGAGTCCTGCTCACGTTCACGTCGTGTGTGCTTTGGACCTGAAGTTCTCAGAACATGTTGGATTCTTCATTGTATCTGAACTGACAGTATTACTGCCCCGCACCTATTAACAGTGTTATCACAGCTTTTACTCATGTTTTATATAATATAATATAAAGTGGATCTTACTGTTTGTTGTCTGAAGCTTTTGGATTTTATTGACTGTGATATTTTGTTTGTGCTCAGTACATTTTACCTAACCTCACCAAAAAAATAAAACGACAATCTTAATTCTCTGGACTCCTGTATTTGCAGTGCCTTCTGAAAGTATTCAGCCCCTTGAACTTTTCAACCTTTTGCCCCATTTCAGGCTTCAAACATAAAGAAATAAAATTTTAATTTTTTGTGAAGAATCAACAACAAGTGGGACACAATCGTGAAGTGGAATTAAATTTATTGGATGTGTCAAACTTTTTTAACAAATAAAAAACTGAAAAGTGGGGCGTGCAATATTATTGGGCCCCTTTACTTTCAGAGCAGCAAACACTCCAGAAGTTCAGTGAGGATCTATGAATGATCCAATGTTGTCCCAAATGACTGATGATGATCAATAGAATCCACCTGTGAGTAATCAAGTCTCCGTATAAATGCACCTGCTCTGTGATAGTCTCAGGGTTCTGTTCAAAGCACAGAGAACATCATGAAGACCAAGGAACACACCAGGCAGGCCCGAGATACTGTTGTGGAGAAGTTTAAAGCTGGATTTGGATACAAAAAGATTTCCCAAGCTTTAAACATCCCAAGGAGCACTGTGTAAGCAATCATATTGAAATGGAAGGAGAATCAGACCACTGCAAATCTACCAAGACCCGGCCGTCCCTCTAAACTTTCATCTGGAACAAGGAGAAGACTGATCAGAGATGCAGCCAAGAGGCCCATGATCACTCTGGATGAACTGCAGAGATCTACAGCTGAGGTGGGAGAGTCTGTCCATAGGACAACAATCGGTCGCACACTGCACAAATCTGGCCTTT